TCAAACTTTATTTAACGGGACTTCTGCTGCTGCTGGGGATGCAGTTTGTGGATGTGTAGGATCCCGGGTTGAGGTGTAAGAGGGGTTCAGAGTAGGGGGTTGGTGTGTGTGGGAGGTGCAGGAGGCCAGGCAGGGTGCTGGCAGTGGGAAATAAAGATATGTGAGGAGGCTCTGGGGCTGGATTACCTTACGTGGCCAGGGCTGGGCTGCTGCACAATGGCAGCAGTGGCTGGACTACAGGCTGGGCCAGCATCACTGCATCTGGATCATGGCCTCCGTTCCTACCCATGCCCAGTGGGAGGGAGGTTGCAACCAGTCCTACCTGCGGCCAGATAAGGGCTGGGCTGTGGGGCCTGCTTCAGCGTTGAGGACAGGATGCAGCAGCCAGGATTGGGACTGGACCCCTATTGGAGCCTTGTTGGCCAGGCTTAATATTTTAGTTTATTTAAAAATGATGTCCGACACAAAAGTCTTCAATATTGTCTTTATTTACGGAAGGGTCGGGGGCCAATGACCCACAGAAAAAAATCAGTTGGGGTTCACACAAAAATAAGCAGCAAAAAACACTCCAAAAACCCCCAGCACTCACTGATGTAGCCCCCAACTGAAACACCTCACTCCTCTAGTTCTCTAGTCCCATGATGGGGGGGGGAAAGGCAGGGAGGAGTGATGTTCAAGGCCTCAGGCCAGATTAACTCATCTGAGTTCCAGGGTTAGCGGATTCTGCAGATGGGGCCAAAATGAGGGGGTAAGCATGTGGGACAGAGCTGCCAAAGAGTGGGATGGGGGTGCAGGATCTGGAGTGCCAGAGGGGATGAGGCTACAAGGTCTGAGTAGGAGATAGGGTGCAAGAGCAGGCTGGGAGTAGGGTGTCTGGCCAGGAGAAAGGGAGAGTGGAGTCTGGCCAAGAACCCTAGGCATGAGGAGGTTGGGAGTGGGGGAGGGGGAGGAACTTACTTGTTTTCACACCACTCCCAGCACCACAGGCCAGGCACTGCCTCCCACTGCTTCCATTGGCTAGGGGGAAAACCTCCAGGAAGTACATTCGCACACTGATATTCCCCCAGCCAGGGATGGGGGAAGGAAAGCAGTAGCATGAGCAGCCGCTTCTAGATTTGCTTGTTCCTCGCCAGCCGTATTTGGTGGGGAAGCTCGGGGCTTTCACCTCCCACAACAGGAAGCCAGTGCTAGTGCATCAATCTTGCAAGGGGCCATGAGGCTGGAGCGGCAGCATGGGCTGTGTGCGGTAACAGCCATTTTATTGCCCTGTTGTGGGGGAAGTGAGGAACAGCTTAGCTGGAGCTACCAAAGAGCCAAATTTTGCTTGGGAGCCTTGGGTTGCCAGCCCCTGCTCTAACTTAATCCTCCCACAGATACAAGTCATAGAATTTCTCTCAGAAATTGGCTGAAAGCACATGGGTTTAAAAGATATCAAGAGAGATTTCCAAACAGTGGTAAGTCCACAACTTCCCGTTTAAGCTACTCCAATGTTTAAATTATACTCACTGCTAGGAAATTGCATGTTATTTCAAGGCTGAATTTGTCCAACTTCATGTTTTTACATAAGAATATAAGAAACATTAGAATATAAGAAAGGCCATACTAGGGCAGACCAAACTCTCTTTTATTAGTTTTAAACTTGCTACCTATTAATTTCATTTGGTGACACCTAATTCTTATGTTATTGAAACAAGTAAATAAACTTTCCTTATTTACTTTCTCCACACAAGTCATGATTTCATAGTCCTCTATCATATCCATCCTTGGTTGTCTCTTTTCTAAGCTGAAAAGACTCAGAGTTATTAATCTCTCATCATATGGAAGTCCTTTAGCTTGCCCTTTACTGATCTTTCTTCATTGCCAGTATATCTTTTTTGAGATGAGGTGACTACATCTCCATTCAATATTCAAGATGTGGGCTTACCAAGGGTTTTTATATAAGCAATAAGATATTTAGTGTGTCTTTCTTAATTATTCCTAATATTTTGTTTGCTTTGACTGCTCCTGCATATCGTGTGGATAACTTCCAAGAACTATCCACAATGACTCTAACATCTCTCTTGTGTGTGGTAACAGCTAATTAAGTCCTTATTATATATGAATAGTTGGCATTATGTTTTCCAATATGTATTACTTTGCATTTATCAAGATTAAAATTAATCTGCCATTTTATTGCCCAGTTACCTAGTTTTGTGAAATCTTTTTGAAGCTCTTCAGTCTACTTTGGATTTAAATATCTTGAGCAGTTTAGTATCATTTGCAATTTGTGCCACCTGGCTGTTTACCCCTTTTCTTCAGATCGTTTTTTAATATGTTGAAAAGGATATGTCCCTAGGGAACCCCACTAGCTACCCCTCCCTCCATTCTGAAAATGTACCATTTATTCCTACCCTTTGTTTCCTATCTCTTAACTAGTTATCAGTCCATGAGAGGATCTTCCCTCTTATCCCATGACAGCTTACTTTGCTAAAGAACCTATGTTGAGGGACCTTGTCAAAGGCTTTCTGGAAATCTAAGTATACTATATTCACTGGATTCCCCCTTGTCCACATGGCTTGCTGACCCCCTTTATCAGCAGGTTGAAAAGCTATTTTTTTCCCCCATCTATAAGTACCTATGCACAGGAATTAAGTCATCCCAATCTTCCCTTCAATAAACAAAATAGGTTCTTGCTTCTGTAACTCTCAAAAGCTTGTTTTCTATACTCTGAATCACTTGTGCAGCCCTCCTTTGAACTCTCAACACTATTTCTACATCCTTCTTGAAACATGGACTCCAGAACTGGACAAAGTATCCTAGCAGTAGTCTTACTAATGTATTGTTCAGAGACAAGGTAACTTCCCTACTTCTACTGAATATTCCTTTCATCATCTGAGGAACACATTACCCATTTTTTCCCAACAGCTCTATACTGAAAGCACATTTCATGTATCTATAAATGCTTCTCTTAGCCCTGGAAAGCAGAGACTATCTCCCTTCCTAAAGGTACAGCTCACATTCTTTGTTCCCAGGTATATTATGTGGCATTTAATTATATTAAAATGCATTTTTTTGGAGTGTAACCATTTAATCAAGTGATAGAGATCACCATGAGTAACCTGTCTTCATTAACTATCCCACCAATCCTTATCAGCAAATATTTTATATTATGTCTAGATCATTGATAAATATATGGAATAGTGTTGAACCATAAACTGATCCTTGATGGACACTGCTAGAAACAGCCCCAGTTACTGATGTCTCACTAGTAGCAACTCTATTTTGAGATCTGTAAGTGAGCTAGTATTTAATCCAGCTAACGTGTGCCCTAGGTTTCCATGTAATGCGAGTTTTTTAGTCAAAATGTCATTTGGAACTTAGTCAAATGCCTTGGGGACATCCAAATAAACGATATCAACTATATATCCATAATCCTGTCAAAACGTGTGTTTGGACTGGCATTATATTTTTAGCCTATCATTCTTTGTATATACAATTCCACTGTTTTGTCAGGGATGTACAGCTTCCTCAGGAGTCATTCTTTTTAAAATAATACTACTACTTCCCTACCTCTGAGGGATGTTTAAGGTGGAATTCATTAGTGTATGTGAAGTATTCATATAGTATGGTTATGAATGCTTCAGTAAATCCTATTAAAAACACACACTCAAACTGGGGTATAGAAGCCACCCCATAAGAGATCCTCAGCAGGCAACAGGAATAGTATATGAATGGATTTGCAAAATCTTGCTCATTAATCCCTTTTCCACACCAGATTTTGACTAGCTCTACTAAATCTGCCCTTTACAGCCACTAATATGAGGGAAGGACAGAATTTAGCTCTTGATTAAAGTTTTGGAAACAGACATGTATTTCTAAGAATTATTAAAATGTTCTTTTATATCCCCCAGACATAAAAACCTCACAATTACCTTTAACGATATTACTCATTTATTCAGAACTCAGAATTGATAATGCACTGAACATCATCATGAACAGATGTGAAGATAGTAAATCACTACTGCAGTGGTCCCCAACATGGTGCCCGCGGGCGCCATGGCTCCCGCCGGGCCATTTATGTGCACCCGCAGAGCAATCTGGGTTGGCCCCGCCCCCCCGCGTGCAGCAGGTGCCAGCCTCGGGCATGCAGCGCCTGGGCGGCCCCTGCCCGGGGTCGCCGCACATGCCGGTGCCGGCCCCAGGCATGCGGCGCCTGGGCGGCCCCTGCCCGGGGTCGCCGCACATGCCGGTGCCGGCCCCAGGCATGCGGCGCCTGGGCGGCCCCTGCCCGGGGTCGCCGCACATGCCGGTGCCGGCCCCAGGCATGCGGCGCCTGGGCGGCCCCTGCCCGGGGTCGCCGCACATGCCGGTGCCGGCCCCGGGAGCACGGCGCATACTTGGCCCTACACCCACAGGCCCGTGGCCCACAAGAGGCCCCGCCCCCGAACTCGCAGCACGTGAGCAGCCTCGCCCCCAGCAGCCCCAAAACATTGGGGACCACTGCACTACTGCATCTTTTCCATCTTTAATTCCTGTGTTGAAGAACCTATTTGTAATGATGCATGTTTCATGCATCAATGTAGTTAGCTTGACCTATAATTTTGGATGTCCCAGACTTCCCACACCTGAAAATGGGTTAGGCAGGGCATTCTCAACAGCAGCTTCCAATGACTGTTCTTCTTCTAAAGTGTGTACGTAATTTACCTTTATCTTAATGAATCTCATGATTAGAATCTTCTGTATTACACTTCAGTTGTCTTTGTCAGAGATTTGTATTTTTAAATACAGAAAATAAAATATACAGTGAATTGTTCATGTTATCAGATTCAAGTTCATCCTAATTTGGACAACTACAGCATATTATATTTTACTGTAAAATAAAGCTTCTGGGGTCAGCTATTGTGTTAAAACAGTAGCTTGTTTTACTTGCAGGTAATGCAATCTTTATATATTTCACATGACAGTTAACTTCCCTTTTATTAAGTAAAAAATTAAAAGACAAAAATCAAAATGGAACTTACCCCCATTATCTGTTCTCTTTAAAGCACCATCCTTGTGAGGGCACAATTCACATCTCTAAGGAAAAGCAAAAACAAAAAGGATTAGAATGATCAAAGGAACATGAAAAGAGAAACCACATACATTAAACAAAAGTATTATGCTAATTGTCTTCTATAACTGGCAGATAATTTATTAAAAGCAACTGGCTACACATTTCCATTAATCTAAACAATACTAAGGATGTATTCATATTACAGAGCTCTGAGGCACAGACAACTGGTGCTTGCGGAGGGAGGGTGGGAATAAAGGGAGGGCCACTTAGAGAAACGAGGGGCATGAGGAGGCACCCCATTTACCTATTAAGATTTTAGGAGGGATATAGGCAGTGGGTCTCCTATGCTCTGAGGGAATGAAGTGCTAATTTCTGATATGTTTCAATCCATGGCACTGTACTCCTTAAATAGGAAAAAAGTTACTTGCAATTCTACTTCTCTCCAAATCTCTTTTAGAATTCTTATTTCTGGATTTTCACTCCCTAAAAAGATAGCAGACTTCCAAAGATTTCCGAGGGAAAGGCTAATCCCCAAGGAACTAGGATGTAAACCAAGACTACATGAGATATATTTCCTTCCACTTGGATCATGAGGGCCATTGAAGCCATAGGGTATGTCTAGACTACATGCCTCTGTCGCCAGAGGCATGTAGATTGGCTACCAGACATAGGAAAATGAAGCGGCGATTTAAATAATCGCCGCTTCATTTAAATTTACATGGCTGCCACGCTGAGCCGACAAACAGCTGATC